ATTATTTTGAGAGGAAAAGGCTTTAGGTGTCCATTTTGACTTGGGCCTTATAGAAGGCCAATTTAATTTAATTTAAATTTTCTGAAGACTTATGAAGGCATTGTATATAATTAATTAGACCTTCCTGTTATATTAATTTAGACTTTCCTGCCTCCTTTTAAATCATATTATGCTGCAGTCTGGCTGGGCACAAAATAACCTAGCCGCCACAAAGCCTTGTAGGTTCAGACAGCAACTCTTTATTCCCCAACTCTCACCGGCACTCTACACACACTTCCCTGAAACACACTCCCTCCACCACGCTCCACGCGCCAATTCTCCTGGAACCCCGTGAGAACTCAACGGGAACCCCAAAGTAGCAGCGGGCACCAGAGGCAGCAGGAGCCGCCCTAATCCAGGGCAGGGTCACCTTTCAACCATTCCCTCTGGCAAAAATGCCAGGCGTCATTCTGACTAAGGTTAATAAAACCTTGAGTTTGACCCTCTTGTCCCCACCCTTTCCAACCTTACTCTAGATTGAAAGGAGAACAGAAAACAGTATTTGGAGTTTGAAAAGTCTTAATGTTTTTCCTAATGACAAAAAAACAGGAGACTGGTGATATGCCACATTAAGTCATATGACTTTTAAACATGTCTGTAATGGGCTGCTTGTTTTTCTTTTCCTCCACAGCCAATGACAGACAAAGTCAACAGATAATTATGCCAGGGTGTGATTTTTGAGAAGGACTGTGAGAGGAAGTGCTAGATGCTTGTAGGAGCACTTTGAAGGGACACTTGAACTTAAGAGTGAGAATGGCTAGTGAAACATTTCAGAAGGATGTGATACCTTATCCAGAGGGGATAGATAGAAATTAGAAGAAGAGGAGGAGGGTATTCCAGGTAGGTGAAAGGAAGCATGTCATGTGTCAGAACCAAAATGCATGTGGAAGATGGCAGAGTGACCATAATTATTAAAGTAATGGAAATGGGCAGGCTTTCCCAGGGAGAATGTATAGAAAAGAAGAGAAGGTAAACTCTGGCAGAAGATTCCTGAAAAGATCATATAGATAATTAATTTCACAGCATTCCACACCTCTCTCCTCCAGAAACGTGGTGAGATGAGGTTTATTTTGTATAGTTTGAGTAGTTTCCTGAACACTTACCTGGAAACCTTTGTCCCATCATTTAGAAACCAAAATATGCCTTGTGATGCCACCAGTGATCCCAGGAACATATTTTTTCTCTTTCTTGGCCGTTCCATATTTCATCCCTTCCATGTGGCAAGGGTTGGAGTGGAGTCAAGCAGTTCTAATGTAACCTCCTCTGCATAATACTTGTTACTTCAGACCTGCTTTATGTTATCAGGGGCTCCTATCAGGCCTTGCATGATAAAGGATATCACTGAATTAGATGTACCCCAGATTATAAACTCTCTGAGAGAAGGGTTATTGTTAATCCTGTCCATTCCAAAGATGCGGAGCAGGTTCAGTATAGAGTATGGCTAAGAAAATAGTCTGTTTACACAGAAGGAACATGGAGTAGGATTTTGGAAGTCCTTTCACTATCTCAGTCAAAATCATGTTGCTGAAGACTCCCTCATAACGTTTGCCTCTCCTCAGATTTAATTGCTGAAGAAAAGCTTTATGTTGACCTCAAACATGCCTTGTTTTTCTCTTGGCCCTTTTTCCACTGCCAAGAAGGGATACACATATCAAAATAAGTGAACCTGGGTGTTCTCTCTTCAGTGGAATGAGTCCTCTCAACTAGGTGGGAACTGAGGATCAGTTATTTTAAAGATTCCAATAATGTTTATACAAGTTGAGCATCCCCAATCTGGAAGACTCTGAAATCTGAAATATTTCTGGTTCAAAGCATTTCAGATAAGGGATGTTTAACTGTTATATTCTAGGTTTGCTTTTCTTAACATTATGTTTGAGTGACTTTATTTTTGCCCCAATTAAACTACTGCTAAAAATTCATAATGAGTTTAATTTCAGAAGTAAAATCATGTTTTACAGATCACTAAGCTTTCCACTTTGATCAAGCTTTGTGTTAAGGCTATGAGCGTGTGTGTCTGTGTGTGTTTGTATGTACATATAATCATTCCCCCTGCCTTTTTCAATACAGGAGGTTGAACTTGGGGGGCCCTTACATGTTAGGCAAGCACTGTACCATTGGAATCCTAAACCTGCTATTTGAACTGTACTTTTTTAAAAAAAGTAATTAAAAGTGGTCTATCTAATGTAACTTCAAAAGTTTAGTAAATAACTGCTTCTGATCTGCTGTGTCTTGATTAATAAGGCATAAACTTCTATTTCTCACAGTAATAAGAAAGACAAATTGATTTTGGGAGCAGTTTGGCAAATGTCAGAATTAACAGATTCATGGAATGGATTGCATTGTATCTAAATGAATTTTCCTATGTGACTACAATTCCTTCAAAAGTCAACTCATGGGGAGCTGGGGTTGTGGCCCGGTGGTGGAGCACTCGCTTAGCACACACAAGGTCCTGGGTTCTATCCTTAGCACCACATAAAAATAAATAAATAAAATAAAGGTATTTTGTCCAAGTACAACTAAAAAATAAATATTAAAAAAATCATTTCATGGATTTGGTTTTATATAATTCTCACAATAAATCCTTTTACCCAAATTGAGGGAAAATCTGGGCATTCTAGGTGGCAGGAAATTGGGCTCTTATATCTTCAGTGAGCCCAACTTTTGGGTTTCAAATTCCAAATAGTTTCAGAATAGATGATTAGAGATACCCCCCAAAATAGACAAGGAACAATGACAGACTTTACTGAGTTTATTTAGAGAAATTTTCTTGAAGTAAATGTTTGAGTGTCTAAGGAATGTGCCGAGACTTTCCAGATTGAAGCATTGATGATAAGATGAGTTTGATTTTGATTCAATTTTAGACATCTTTTGTCTTAGATCCTGGCATTTTTGACTTTGAGATTGTCAGTGACTTTTTAGTTTTGAGTTCTCTTTTGACTGATGGCCTTGAATAAATTAAAACATTTCTGCAGGTAGCAATCCTCCAACCTGAATCAGTTTTTGTTGATATTAGAAGATTACCAACTAAAGTAATATTAACAGACTACTTAATTTTATTGGCAGTACAGGAATGTTGGTGGAAAGGGTAAGGAATGAGACCCTGGCCAGGGTCTTCATAGTGACCATCTCAATTTTTCACTTAAATTTCAACTCTTAATATTTGTAAGTTCCTTCTTATGTCCTTTCTCTTCTTTGCTAAATAACCTGTAGTCCTCAATATTCTTTCTCTCTTTTCTTTAGAATGTGTAGAAATGAAGTCAGAGATAAGTGGCATTGTCCTTCACTTAACAAAAGATGTAAATAACAAATCATGTAAAACATACAACCAGATCTCATCCTTACCCATTTATCTGGTGTGCTGGCTTGTATATTGATAGTACCAGAATGTTTCAAGGGCACCCAAAGGGTTAAATTCATTAGTCCATTTATATCTCTCTGATGATGATGATGATGATGATGAAGATGAAGAAAAAGAAGAAGATGATGATGATGATTTTATTTTTGGCCATACTGGGTACCCTACCACTGAGCTATATCCCCAGCCCTTTTTATTTTATTTTTGGGACAGGGTCTTAAACTTGCTGAGGCTACCCTTGAACTTGTAATCCTCCTGCCTTAGCCCCCCAGATTGCTGGAATTGCAGGTGTGCACCACTGTGTCCTGCTTCCCCTGTGTTTACTAACATGCTTTTCAGAAACAACTACATTTGTTTTGGGATAGGGGAGGGGACTTCTAATGTACTTCCTAGTTTAATGTAGCTTTTGTCTTACTAGGTATTTCTAAGGACACAGTTAGCACCACCTGGGATAAAAATTTTGTCCTCTTTCTATCATCTAGCAGCTATTTTGTTTCTATTCAGAATATTACCCAGGCAAATCTCAACTCATCACCACCCTTTCCCACCTCTATAGAAGTACTGATTTATATACCTTTCCAAGAGTGTCTAATATCTTCTTTTCTGTACACTACAATTGCATTAAGCTTAGCCTAGAAGTTCTTAAAAAAGAAAAAAAAAAAAACAAAGCATTCTGATTTGAACTGTATAATATATATTGTTAACTCTGATTATGGTACATCTTAGTTTTAAAACATTGTTTTGTATTGGTGTTAGTGTCAGGGACCATCTTTGATCTCTGACTTTCTTTAAAAATCTCATAGTTCATCAACATATAACTTATTCTACTTGTGGTTCAAGGGCAGCTTGTTTATTAATGAACTTGGTGTACCCTGACTCTTGAGTTAACACAAAAATGTACTTTTAAACAAATGGCTTTGTCTCTTGGCTCTTCTTATTTTGGTAAAATCCTTTCAATTCCAATCTCGGATAATATGGAAACCAAGAGTTGTTAAGTTTTTATGAAGAAAACCATATAGGATACTTCCCATATTTTATAACTTTGGTCTAAAAAAGGTATACTAAACCAGGCTGGGTTGTACATGCCTATATTCCCAGCGACAGGGGAGGCTGAGGCAGGAGGATCACAAGTTTGTTGCCAGCCTAGGCAATTTAACAAGAGCCTGTCTCAAAATCAAAATAAAGGGGATAGGGATAGGGCTGGGTTGTAGCTTTGTGGTAGACTGCTTGCCTAGCACATGTGAGGCACTGGGTTTGATCCTCAACACCACATTAAATAAATAAATAAATAAATAAATGAATGAATAAAGAGAGAGAGAGAGAGAGAGAGAGAGAGAGAGAGAGAGAGAGAGAGAGAGAAAGAAAGGTGTTGTGTCAGTCTACAACTGAAAACAATTAAAAAAAAAAAAGTGATGGGGATATAGCTCAGTGGTAGAACACCCCTGGATTAAATCCCTTGTATTGCATGTATGCCTAAATATATAAATAAATTTTAAAAATTAAAAAGTTGTACTTTTTCCAATGTTTATAGATCACTAAATAGCTATAGACTCTTACTAAGGTTCCCTGTGAATCTGAAATGTTTATCTCTTACATTTTTATGTAGGCTGGACGTAAAGAAAGAAGTGATGCACTCAATTCTGCAATCGATAAAATGACCAAGAAGACCAGGGACTTGCGTAGACAGGTAAGCTGGAAGAAAGTACTGATTGCTTTTCTAAGTTCTTGATTTTGTAGCTTTAATTAAAATTCTAATAAATACTGGATTAAATAATGAATAAAAAACTTTATGTGCAGCAGATTAAACTCAGAGCCTTACAAATGCCAGGCAAGCGCTTTACCACTGAATGATATTCCCAGCTCCTTTTATTTTTTTATTTTGAGATAGTATCTTGCTAAGTTGCTGATGCTGGCCTCGAATTTGGGATCCTCCTGCCTCAGCCTCCTTAGTGGCTGGGATTACATGTGTGCCACGGTTCCAGGCTTGGGTTTATGTTTTTATTGAGGGGAAAAGGATGGATTTTCACAGAAAAGTGACTATCTCTGTATTTTTGCTGATAAAGTCCATAATGGTTAATAAAATCTCATAGGGATATGGAATAATGTGGTCCCATTGGGGTGGACTGAATAAGTTAAGTCTAGCATGAAAATGAGGACATATGAAAATACCCTCAAAGGATCTCGTTATGTTATGTACAGTAGAGACAAAAATTCCAGTTACTCATTTGACTTGCCCCATTCTGATCACATACTTGCAGTTCCCTTAGATATGTGGAGATATGTTTCTAGTTCAAGTATGATAGGTATAGAGGTATTTGGCGTGCTGAGATTTCCATCTGAAAATCAGATTGAGTTTTAATTTTTAAAGAAGTTAGGATTGAATTTATACAAGAAAGTATTAAGACATAAGAAATTATAATTAATTCAGACAATTTCTAAAAAACTAGTAGAGAGACATTTTATTGCTTGTGTCTGATTTAAAGCAAAATTAAAGACAGAACTATCCCTGATTCAATTTCCTTTTGGTGAACAGTATCAGGAATGTTTGTAAAGATGGCGTCTGGTTTGTAGCTCAATGGTGGAGTACATGTTTAGCATACATTATACTCAATTTTGATCTCCCAACTCCACTGCCACCCCCCAAATTTTATAAAGATATCCTTTAAGTTTTAAAGTGCCTAGTGTGTTAGCACTTTTAGATAAACCAGAAAGTGCTTTTTTTCTCTTTTCATTTCATTTAGTTAATTAAGCTAATTATATATATTCAAGGCTGCGTGCCACTTCACCCAGAGCTGCTTTCTGTTCCTCTTTGTATTATTCCTGTAAGATGTAAGCCTTAGTTTTGTAATTCCTAAGACAAAAGAATGTTGTCTTGAAAACTGAGATTCTATCTGAATTGTTGTAAGTATAGTGGAAACCACTGTCTCCATGATCCTATGTTTCCTGTGTTGCAAGTTATGGCAATTACATTACTGGTTGCACTCATATGTGCAACCAATCTATCATATGCTTCTATTAGATTTTAAAGTACTAAAGAAAAAAACATGATCTAGCTACTTGGTGGAAATAAAATCAAATTTATACAATTTAATTATTAGCTCCGCAAAGCTGTCATGGACCACGTTTCAGATTCTTTCCTGGAAACCAACGTTCCACTTTTAGTATTGATTGAAGCTGCAAAGAATGGAAATGAGAAAGAAGTTAAGGAGTATGCCCAAGTTTTTCGTGAACATGCCAACAAATTGATTGAGGTAAGTACATTAACAGTTTCATTAACTGTTAAGTAACTTGGTGAAGTGTGGCAAGTCTAATTCACATGCTTTAATCAGCTAAATAATGTTAAGGGTTCACCTAATATACAACATGTATAAAATGAGAATAATATTGTCACTGAATATCCCAAGCCACCATTTTGGTCAGTTTTACACTAATTATATAGACAGACTCGATCTTAGAAACTTCACATCATAACAATGTTAATATGAGTAAAGATATATATATCATGGCACTGTTTTAAAAGCAGTGTAGAAAATGGTTGTAGCTAAGAGCTGGAGCTCTCAGGGAGTCACATTGTCTGGCCTTGTCTCCTGGCAGGTTACCTAAGCCCTCTCAATTTCTATTTCTTGTCTGTTAGATGAGGATACTAATGATACCTACCTTAGGGTTATTTTAAGGAACAAAAGATGATGTATGTCAGGTGCTTACTAGTTTTATGTCAGAGTCATAGACTCAGACCCATCTTATTACTTTAAAAATGAAGAAAATTATTCTGAATTTTAAAATTTCTCAATTAGTAAGAATGGGGTGAGGATGAATACTCTGAACCTATAGAAATCATGATATGATGGATCAATTCCCAATTAAGCTTTTTATAGAAAATATTTCTAAATTTTTATCAACAAGAGTAGGTGGACTTGCTCTCTATGTAATATAGAATTATCTATTTTATTAAAAATTTAAAAAATGACAGCATATTAAAAAATTTTAAATTAAAAGTGAAGAAAATAAGCCCTGACATGATGCTAATTAGATATATTTACAGAGTAGAAATCTGTATAGCAGTGGTTGGTTTGTTTGTAGGGTCATAAGAATAAAAAGTGAATTGTCATTAAATTTCCAGGTAAGTTAAGCTAACTGAATTTGTTATTATTTAATTTATTCATTATTGCTATATTTGTGAAATGTGACACACAGTAAACATATACTCAAGTTGTTTAATTTTATAAATTAATGCAAAACACTTAAAATTTGATGAAGATAAGATGTAAACCATTTGGTAAGTTGGTCATTACCTAAGAACAGAAAATGGCCTTCATGTAAAATGTGTGTCTTGTGCATTTGAATTTATGGTAACATTAGCCCAGGTTAATACCATAAAAATATTCCAAGGAAAACATCAGTAATCACATTAAATGCATTACTAATTTTAAATCTAGTTTTTTTGAGCATTAATTGTTATTCTGACCTGAATTGATTATGTACAGAATACATAGGTAAGTCTACTGCTATTTAAGTTAATTATTTTGGCATCTGCAACTAAAATTGGAGACTTTCATTTGTGTCTCCATTAAGCATAATCTTGTTCGTAATGGTCACATGATAACACAGATGTAATTTCCAAATGTACAAAGATTGTGTCGGGAAGGCAATCTCTTATAAGTAGCTTGTATTAGGGTTTGTCTGAGTGATAGCAATCAATGACACTGCCAGCCTTAACAAGCTTAGTGTGGCAGCTAAAGAGAGGGCAGCCCTTGTTTTTGCTTGAGTTGGAGGGCCCTTTATTTTGGCCAACTGCATCATCTTCAGCCTCTATCCAGCGTTAACAGAACTAACACTTTCTGAAGATGGACTATATACCAATATTCTATACTTTCCACAACAGCATTTTTCAGGTAAGTGAATAGAGGCTTAAAGACTTTAAGTGCTTGCCTAAGTTTAGTCAAATTGTATCCCTGCAACAATGAGAATTGTGTGCCCCAGCTCACTATCTTAGTGATAGCCTAATACTCACTGAGAAGCACAGGGGTGGGGTGGAATTGGTAACATTGGAGACCTTGCTTCAGAAGTTTTCCCAAGCTTGTGATTTTTATTTCATTCTGAACATCACTAAGTGCTTCTTTAGAGATTAGAATGTGGTATTCCCACCACAGCTCAGTTCTAACCCTTTTCTAACCTCTTTCCCTCCTCTGTGTCCTCAATCCCCACACCCACCCCCTTCTTATCTATGTATTAAATGACATGTGGCCTTTCGATGCCTGAGGCATAACCATAGGCTTTGTAATACCATTCTACAAACAGTTAAATTACATTTATAATAATAGAGATAGTAAGATATATAATTGCATATGTCTATGAAAAGGAAATGAATTTTCAAAGTGTTTTAGAGCTTTAAATTCCTGACTCAAGGCAGAGCTTTATTCTTCAATGACAAGGCATTACTACTTTTGCGTTATAATGAAATATATTGAACTAGTCAAAGATTTGTTTTGGCAAAATTAAAATACCTCCTTGTGAGTGGTTTGTTAATTTTTTTTTTACTTCTTTTTAGTCATTCCCTCCTAATTGGAGTAGATGTCTACAGGCCAATTTTGGTTTGAGAGCCATTTTCTTTGGGGCTGAGGGAAATAAAAAGCTGAGCTGAGCTGAGCTCAGCTATGGGGATAAGGCCCTGGCAGGAAAGGAAAAGCTCAGATTTTGCAGCCTCTCTGCAGAATACTACCAGATATATTTGGGAGAAGTGGATCTCCTAAAATACTATAGTACAGTTCTGATAGTAGCCATCAGGAATTAGTGAAGTCCCACAGATTAATGCCATGGTCCCCAGCAAGATTGCCCATATCTCAAATGCTAGCTGCCAGTTTGGGGTACCCAGGCCACTTCTACTCTGATCAACTGGCTACAAATCTAGGGGTTTCCCATGATCCATCGCAGGTTTGATAATTCATTAGAACATTTCATGTAACATTTTGTTTAAAAGGACGTAGGAACCGGCCAAATGAAGAGAGGCACAGTGGGCATCTGGGAAGGCATAGATGCAAAGATGTACCCCTTCGCAGTGGAATCAAGGCACATCACCCTCCTGTCACATCCATGTATACACCAACCAACCAACTTCTCTGTTTGTGTCCAGAGCTTTAGTGAGGTTTCATTGTAGTTATGATTAATTGAATATATGATTTAATGGAGCTTATTTCCAGTTCCCCTCTCCTCCAATAAGGAACTGAACTTAGAGCCCCAATTGTCTAATCAGATGGTTGTCCCCCTCACCTAAATCACCTTAATAACATAAATTATTAGGGCCAGCTGTGAATAATCAAGAGATCTTATCACTACTGAAATTTCAATAATTTATATATTCCTTCCCAGAAATCTAGCAAACGAAACAAATTATATAATATTCAACACCTCCTTTGAAGGTATGTGGAATGCATGGTTTTCAGGTAGCTTAACTTCACAGCCAGCCTACCTTGCTACCAAACCATAAGCACAACATGGAAGCAGTAAGAGAGGGCAGGTTTGTTTCCTGCACCTTAGGTAGACCCTTTTTATGGCTTTTACCCAGTCAAGTACTACTTTTCTTACCTTGTAACTATTTGCTTTATTTGAGTTTTGTTTTTCCCTTTAGTTTCTGCCCTTTAGCGGTCAGGCTTTCTCTTTTCTCCAGGAAATCAAATTCATCTCTTCATACCAGGGTGAGTGGTTCTTCCTCATAAAATTAAAGATTCTCACTGTGTGGATCCCTTTCTGCAGCATTTTTTATCATCATGTAATCTTTCTTTGACTCCTTCAGTTGTGAGAAACTCACTTCCTCCAGAGGTAGTATATTCTAATAGTATAGTCTCTGGTGATTAGGAGCAGAGGGCCAGTCTCCTCTTAAACCTTCCCACCCATCTTGCTGCTCCACATGTGTGAGTTGAGAATTACTTTGAGTATACAGTATATATCTATATATTTCTAATATGTGGTATGGAAAAAGAATATAAAATAACTTATTGGTAATTTTTGATAACTGTGTACATGTTGAAATAATATTTTGGGGTTAATAAAACATCATTAATTTTGTCTTTTAGTTTTTTTGGTGTGGCTACTAAATAATCGACAAGTCCTCATGTAGTTCACAGTATATTTCTGTTGGACAAATTACTAGTCTACATGATTTACTCAGGCCCTCCAGAGGTTCTCTTCATCACAGTTCTTCCCTGGCTGCCCTCCATTCAAGTGCCAGCCCTCACTGAACACCTCCTTCAGTGATAGCAGATGGAGGTCTTGGCTATAGCTCTACCTCTATCATTCCAGAGGTAGACTGTGTATCCCAGGATGGCTTTGGCCTTTGGGCAGCATATGCAGTGATGCCTCTGAGCTCATTGTCAGTCAGAGCTTCTGGGTTTTTCCTGTGGAGGTGATACTGCACATTGCCGTCTTGTCCATTCCTGTCAGTATGGTGTGTGTTAGTGTACAACTATATGTGTGGTTTTGACACTCATTGAATATAAATTTACATCCAATTTAGTGTTTTTTCAGGATTTCTGTTGCCATGTTCTTCATATTATTGGCTACCTCTTTTGAAATATGTCATTTTTTATCTTTATTATAGGAAGATGAGTACGTCTTTTCTACTTTTATCTAATCTGATCTTTAAAAAATATGTTGACTTAAGACAAAGCACAAGATAATAACCTTTCTGCTTGCCACTGAAAATCATTCTCTTGATTGGAACAGTTAGCCTTTTAGCCAATTAAGACTTCCTTTAATTTTTATTTATTCACTTTATTTTTTGTGGTATTGGGGATTGAACCCAGGGGTACTCTACCACTGAGCTCTATCCCTAGCCGCCCCCCCCCTTAAATTTTTATTTTAAGTTGTAAATGGACACAATACCTTTATTTTGTTTATTTTAATGTGGGGCTGAGAATCGAATCCATTGCCTTACGTGTGCTAGGTAAGTGCTATATCCTTGAGCCACAACCCCAGCCCCTCCCTAGCTCCCCTTTTTAAAAATTATTACTTTTTAAGTTGTAGATGGACACAATCCCCCGCCCTTCTCCTCCCCCACCCCTTCTCTCTGTCTTTTGTGCTGAGGATTGAACCCAGTGCAGGTGAGTGCTCTACTACTGAGCTACAACCCCAGTTGTCCTCCCCAGCCCCCACCCCTGCCATCCCTTTTATTTTAATTTTGATCCGGATCAACCCCTGCCAGCCCTTTTATTTTTAATTTTGATCCGGATCTCAAAAGTTGCCACATGTGGTCTTA